AAACCCCTACCCAGTACCCACATGTCCATCACATGGCCCAATCAGGAACCGTCCCAACTGGCGATTCCTCCCAGTCATATCCCTCTAGGTGCAGGGCAAGATGTCCTTGACTCTACAAGAAAGGAATGTTATTATGACTATATATCTCCCATACTCAATCAACCCCCCCTCCCATTTTCCCACAGCATTAAATGTGGCAGGCCTGAAGGCCCAATGCAAAAGATTGCTCCCAGGCCTTTCTGTAGATGTGCAAGATCTATTTTTCCAAACAAAAATCAGATTCAATCAATCAGTTTGGCTATTTTGAGTTAAAGCACAATTTTGAGTCACTGAATCAGATCAGATTAATTATTTGATGGAATTACATCTAGGTGATATGCACAAATCTACTGCTGAATGGTGTACTAAAATAATAAGAAAGTTTGTAATTCAGCAAGCATGAAAAAATATATAAATATAATGTTATCTACAGACCTCTGTAGATCTTTAAAAGAATATTTCACTCAAATGAAGGAGCCATTTTGAATCAGCAATATAGCCAGAAGTTCCGCTTTGCAAAATAAATAGCTGGTCAAGTCAGTTTGCCTCATCTGGATACCTTGAGGAGCAATTTCATTGTACCAAAGAAGAGGAACTCCCATCCTAACTCAGACTCAGATCCATACAGTTGAGGCAAAATTAATTTGAAAGGCAGTCTTACAAACCTTGTTATTCAGAACTTTGAGGATCAGATGCATTTCTCTTGATAGAGAATGTTATAATATAGGTATAATCTGAATATATTTTCCCTAATCACCTCACTGGAAGCCTTTAACTCCTGTGGCTGTTGAAGGCTTTACACATTAATGCTAACATAAGCAGTTAATGAAGCCTTCAAGGATCACTGTTATTCTTTAGCAATTCTACTTAATACTCTGGCTGCAACATTTGTGTGCTAACTCTGTTTTCCAAGCCATCTTCATGATTATTCATGAAGTAAGTGTAGAATTTTAAAGAAATGTGATCCAAAGGAAAAAAAATGATATTTTCAACAAGGAAAAGAGGAGAATAACTTTTTTTTTCATTTTTCTATCTACAGAAAATTATTCCATATTACTTTTATTTGTTTACTTTAGTTGGTGGTCAAAGTATACTACTTATATGTAAAAAAATAAAAGCTACATGGGAAAAATCAATATATAGCAATTATAGCACTTCTATGTTGTTCCATAGGTTTTTATAGCACTCTCTGAGCGGTTTAAAATATCAGGATATTGCCCTTAACAATCTGAGTCCTCATATTACTGACCTTGGAAGGATGGAAGGCTTAGATAACCCTGACCCTGTCAGGATCGAACTTCAGGTTATGGGCAGAGTTTGCCGGCATTACTGCATTCTAACCACTGTGCCACCAGGACTATATCCTTAACACAGAGTGGCATTCAACATAACTCTACACTTATTGAAGACTATTTATAATCATATTTTTAGTTAAATGGTTTCTGTTATGGATTTTTATTATGGATATTTATAATTATCATTACATTCACAAACTCCTGTTCAAGAACCTTTCATTTTTTAATACTTCTACAAGATGAAAGCGAGATGAAAACAGTGAAGACCAAGGAAGAGTTATTTACCTATTTGTTATTTTATTTAAATTATGGGTTTTTTTATTCCTATTAAGCAATTAGGTCAATTTATAGCGTCAAAAAACTCTTCAAAAATCCACAAAAAATAAATGTAAAATGCAAAATCCCAAACCGTATTCTAGATTTCACAGCAGTTACAGATATATTAAGATTATGAGGTTATAAAACCTGTACCATAGGGAACTTTGAGCTGCTTGAACATGCACCAGTAAAACGAGAAATTCCTTTCTACCCTTGGCCTTCATTTTGGCAGCATATTAATGAAGCTGAATTGGCCAAGTAAAAGGAAAATATTTCATACAAGTTTTTTTGTCCTTAAATAATATAGGGTCTTAAATGAAACAACAATTTAACAGGTTAATCAAAAAGGTTTTCCAAAAGGGAGAGGGAAAAAAGTGAAGGGAAAAAAGACAGAGAGTGAGGTGAGAATTAGGTGATAAACCTAGTAAATTTAATTTGGGGGAAGGGGGGGACTAAAGAGAAAAGGAGTTTAAATATGATAGGTGATGGATTAATACTGGTAGTTTTAAAAAGAAAAGCAGGTAAATTGATTCTATAATATAAACTGAATAACAAGTTGGTTAAGAGCTCCGTGAAGTAGAAGACCCAATTTAAGATGCTTAATTAAAACCCTATATCCAGAGATGCAGGAAAAAGCAACTATGGAACTCCTCAACTTACAACCAACAACAAAACAATTGTCTGAAGTTATAATGGACTTCAAAAAATATACTTATGAGACATTCTTGAAATAATCTCTGCCTCACAACCACACACACACCTTGTGATAATTTAATCACACATTTCATAAGCTTGGCAACTAGATGACATTCATATTGGTTGCAGCAGCCTGCAGTCATGCAATTACAATTTGAAACATTTGTTGCTATTTTCCAACAGAAAGTGACAAAAAACACTCATTGGATAGTGACTTATGGCTGAAATTCTGGGCTCCATTGTGGTCATAACATGAGAACTGCCTGCATTTGATTTATGAAAAGTTAGCTACTTGGTAGCTAATATAATTCAGTTTTATTCAGTTATATTCCTTAGTCATTAATGACTTAGGAACTCTGTGAAAAAGTTTTTTTTTAAATTAATCAGGGCCTCATTGTACCATTTACAATATAAGTAAGCCATTAAAACTTATCCTTAGGTGTATTGTAGTTTTCAAAACATTTGCATCCCAGTTACCAATAATTGCCACCTGTTAACTGCTACACATATTCTATATAAATAGATTGTTAGAAAAGAACTTCATTTCCAGAGTCCTCCCAAATAAAATACTTCACAGATTGTTTGTAAAATTATAAATTTGATAACTATGGAGAATGAACCCCGTAAACAGAACATCAAGTATATGTTTAACAAAGATGCAACATTTTCAAAAATAGATGGCATCCCATTCAGTACACTGTATGCTTCATATTCTATTTCATATTCTATTAGTCCATTAAATCCAGTAGATTTACATATTCAGTATTAGCAAATATTCTACATATTATTGTACACATGTTTGTTTGATAATGTCACATCTTCCCTACCACAATTGGGAACATAAAACAAAATTGCCCTGTAAAAAGATTTGTACTGGAGCCAGGTGCATTGGCAAAAATTTATATGGTAATTTGTGGATTGTACTATTATGAAACCAGGTCTGATTCTTAGTAATTCTGTAAGATGTCATGATCGAAGTATAAAAGTAAAGCTTGTACTGCAATATTGTGAACTCATTTCCCCTCCTTTCTTCAGAAATTCATGGCTGAAACTGAAGCAATGGAATTGACTCAGATATATAGATTTTCTGAACTTAAGCTGGTTTAGCTGCCCCTAAATAAGATGAGGTCAATAAACATTTAATCCACCATGACTCAGTTGAAAAATGTGTGATTTTTCCAATAGTAATGAATGTTACTTAATCATGTAATGAAATAATAAAATAAAGTTATGTCAAATGTCAGTGAGAAAAAATTAAAATTTTAGTCCAAAATTCTTGATGAAACTTTAAAAAGAAGAAATACTCAAAATAAACTAGCTGTCAAAGTGTCTGTTGCCTTGACTTGAACTTTTCAGTTATTTTATATTGCAGTATTCAGCATATGATTTTTTTTTCTATGTGATTTCTCCAGCTATTGATTTTTGTCTTACTGTTTTGTTCTCCGGGAAGTCAACTGAAGACTATAGTATTTATAGGGTGTGTCTTATTAGTGCAATGTAATCCATCTTCATTAAGTTCAATATAAATGATATACTGTATGACATTTGGCAATGTATGATGCGATCACTCTATCACCAGTTCTGTAAATCAGAAGCTGTTGCTTTCTGTTGGGCAGACAGTTAATCAGTTACATGCTGTATTACTGATTAAATTCAGATTGTCAAGGAAGAGACAAATAATGTGTTTGTATATTATATTTTATTAGTGCATATTTCATTTAAATATGTTAGTCACTTGAAAATTGAAAATCCTATTGCTTCATGAACAAGATCTAATGCATATGCAGAGTGTTGTGTGCATGGAGTGATTGCCCTCAGTGTTTTGATTTTGCTTGTGACCCAAGAGTGTTTGTGCACATGCAGGTATCAAATATAATGACACTTAAAAGATTTCTTGGTTTGTGTTAATTTTTCTCTCACACTTTTGTCCTTAATCAGCATTTAGTATACATATTCTGCAAGAGAACATTCTCCTCCCTCCACTCCAAACCCCATAATACTTTGTATAAAATTACAATTCCATCATCACTGTTATGAAAAGCAATGACAATAGGTTCACAGATCCTAGATGGAAAAAGTTACCCTACAAAATTGATTTCTCAGAGACTCTAAAACTTGATGGCATATCTCACTTGCCTCTTTCTGTTTTATGCACCAAGGAATAAATATTACCATTCTGAGACCTAAATTTATAATTATTATTCCATGTATTAATTGGTATAAATCACAGATCTTTTAAGATGTAGCACATTTATTCTAATAGTATGCAGTGAAAGTGGTACTCCTTGTTAATTGGTTCCAGGAGATGCAATGAGTAACAAAAATGATGAGTACCAACATTTTTTCCCATAAGGAATAATATAGTGAGTGATAAGGCAGTTCCAATTTGTTCATTGAGTACCAAGCAAACAATGAGTACCAGGATAAAATTTTCATGTCAAAATAGATTCAGTACTAAATTCAATGGAGTTTTAAAGCAGTTGAGTACCAAGGTACCACTATAGTCAGATGATGTTATCCAACAATTTCTAGGATAAAAAAAAATGTTATATTGTATAAAATATGCTTCTAAATATTAAAAGTTATACTTTTATTGTGCCATTCATACATTTTTCTTAATTAAAACATGTATTTAATGATCTGCTGTGACAGATGTTGGATCTGTGGAGGGTCTAGCATATCATAGGGCTTGGGATACTTTGTACTGGACCAGCTCTACTACATCTTCTATTACAAGGCACACAGTTGATCAGAAACGAAGAGGTGCTTTCAACAGAGAAGCTGTAATAACGATGTCTGAGGATGATCACCCACATGTATTAGTCCTTGATGAATGTCAAAAGTAGGTACCATGTTCCTACATTTTTTACTGGTTATATACCTCCCTGCTAACATAATTTTGTTCACAGTTATTGCATAGTGAACAAATGAATTCTTTTCTTCTTTCTTGAGCCACTATATTCAAGAGTATAAGACAAAAATACTTTACCTCTTGGGATTATAGTCTAAATGTTTTCTTTCATTCTGTTGATTATTAGAACAGGGGTTTTGTATTGGTTTCATTAGTGTTTGTTTCATATAAAAATATTCAATCATGTTGGTCAGGGAATGAGTTGTCCATTAATGCATGATGTTTAAGCATGATTTGACTTCATTTTTGTCTTTATTTTTTATTTATTCATTCATCTCATTCTATTATCATGCTAGGTAAAAATTAAATTCTTGTGTACTGTGTGATCAATCCACTAAGGTTTTGTATTCCCAAAAGTTCTCCAAAGAGTGATGGCAACTTACATTTTGCTATAGTGCTTGAATGTTAGACATTTTTTTCCCATACACACACAAAAGTAGCTGTTAAATCATTACTGAGCATTTTAATGTAACATAATAATTATTTTTCTTTAAACTTACCAAATTTCTGTACTCTCAAATTTTTCCTTGTATTTGCCAATCAATGCTCTATAGAATATATGAATATTACAAGGTACTTTTATTTTTTACTAGTATTACTCCACGAAACACTAGTTTGCACCCTATTGATGTATTGTTAGTTGTGATTTATATATACATTATGTTACGCTATTTATAAGTGAAATGTATTTTTAATGTGGAAATTATGTTTTGCTTTTAGTTTAATGTTTTGGACTAATTGGAATGAGCAGCATCCAAGCATCATGAGAGCTACATTGAATGGCAAAAATGCACAAGTTGTAATCAGCAATGACATCTTAACACCAAATGGACTTGCCATTGATCACAGGGCTGAGAAACTGTATTTTTCCGATGGTAGTTTGGGAAAAATAGAAAGATGTGAATATGATGGATCACACAGAAATGTAAGATCATAAAACTAACTTTTAGTAATGTATTGATATTTCTATAAATAAATAACTGTAATATTTATTTTGCATCCTAATAATAACAACAACAACAGCAGCAGCAGCTTCTTGCAATAACACCAGCGGAACTGCAAGAAACTGTGCTAATCAGAACATCATACATTTTAAGAAGATACATGGTTGATACCTAGGATGTTGGCAGCAACATCAGGACCAGTCAATGATATTTGTGATACATTTTTAAATGTTCAGTTGACTGAGTTTCATGTTTAATGAATAAAAGAGGTAATAATAATATCTAGATGGATAGTACAATGGGAAAATATTGGTGACTGGGAAGGTACTTAACGTTTTTCTAGTGAGGTTTATGCCAATTAGAGAAATGGTATAAAGTGTATAGGAACATTTCAAATGTGAACAAACTATAGTTTTCTATTTTAAGTTCGTGAGGAGATATTTGAAGTTCTTATTGTTATAATAAATCTGTTTAATGCCAATGCTAGAATTTTTTTGTCCTTCAATCTTACTAACACAATTTAATTTTCTGTTAATATATATGTCTAATTTCTGTATAATAATGTCCAGATAATAATTATTATTTATTTCTATTTTATTGGGGTGTTCACGTGGGAAATATAATTTTATTGTGAATTTTAACATACAAACCACGATGTAATTTCATCCTTATGTATCCAAAAGTTGTGTATATGCTATACTATATTAACATCATACAATGCTTCCTAGGTGATCCTAGAAAACAGGTACAGGTAGTCTTAGACCTACAACTGGTCACTTAGCAACCATTAAAAGGTATGATATACCCCCCCCCCCAAGGCATGACCCAAGTTCAAAGTTATGGCCGCTGCAATTCCCTACCATGTTTCACCCATGCAGTAACCAGCTGTAGGGATACACACACACACACACACACACACACACACACACACACACACACACACAATCTTTCATCCTTCCCGGTCTTGGTTGGGCCTTCCAAGGCCTCCCTATGCCCCTCACGATTCCACCAAGCTGTGGCATACTCTCAAGCTGGCCACTCAGTTACACAAGGGATCCTAAAGAAGTTACCCAGAGGGTAGTTACAGCCTATAGGCCCTGGCCTACTTGCAGGACTCAACCTGTTCCTCAGCGAGATTCAAGGCCAAGTAGCACCCAAGTTACCTTTTAATTTTTGCACAGAAGGCTGGCCAAGGCCATGCAATACGAAGCTCAAGTTTTTTACAGAGACTGCCAGCCTTTTGATAACTTCATGTTATTCTCCTAGCAAGTAGTACTTCTTGTGAGACTATATGGGGCTCTGTTTTTTAAGGAGACTCCCCAAACTCCATAAACAAATGGATCTTCCTTAAAAAAACAGAGCCCGCTACAGTCTCAAGAGGAGTGCTACTTCTAGGACCATGATGGTGAACCTATGGCACGCGTGCCACAGGTGGAATGCAGAGCCCTTTTGCTGGCATGCAAGCAGTTGCCCAGCTCAGATCCACTGTGCATGCCTGTGTCTTCCACCAGCCAGCTGATTTTTGGGTCTCTGGTGTCAGCAGAAGACATATGTGAATGTGTGTTGAGTAGGAGGAGGTTGCAGGTGCATGCGTGGGGGGAGGGCGCACATTCAGGGGGGTGGAGCAGTGTAGCACAGCTCCCCTATGTCCAGTTTTGGGTGCTTCCTCACCCCCACCCACCCCCAGGCATGCACGTGTGACCCTTGTTTTGTTGCTAGCAGGCCTCCCTGTGAAGCCTCCTGGTACCAAAGACAGGGATGACTTTGGCTGTCTCCTAATGGGAGAAGATCAGACCTCAACCTTGACTTGAAGTGGGGTGTTGCTCCAGATTTTCATTCCTCAAATGAGTTTTCCCCACTCAAAGGGGTGGGGAGAGGCCAAAAAAGAGCGGCAAAGCCATCCCCAAACTGAAATATTCCAAGCGCTATGAATCACATGCTCCTGTCGGCTACTCGGGAAAGAGATTGGTGCATCTTATACTCCAGTGCATCTTATACTCCAGTGCATCTTATACTCTGAAAAACACGGTAATTAAAAATAAAACAGAAATACTGAAAAATAGATAATTTTACATTTAATTAATCCCTTTATTTTTCTAATCAGGTAATAGTCAGATCTGGACCTGGCACTTTTCTCAGTCTAGCTGTATACGATGCTTGGATCTTCTGGACAGACTGGGTGAGAAGAGCTATACTGCGATCCAATAAATATACAGGTGGAGATACAAAAATTCTTAGATCTGATATCCCACATCAACCTATGGGCATCATAGCTGTTGCTAATGACACTAACAGCTGTAAGTTACTGAGTACAACATCAGTATTTCTTTACTGGTAGATATATTTTAAAAAAATAGTAAAAGGATTATTTTTGCAGGTTATTATACTGTTCTCTTTTAGATATGTAGCTTTTATTATAGAGAATAGGTAATTATCACAGAAGTAACAATCTTAATTTGAAACAGTTTTCAAATTGTTATTTTTTTCAGATGAGAAAGCAAGTTCTCTTGAAAAAAACATTCACAATTGTCCCTTGCTTGAAATGTGAAATTTGTGGGAATTTTTATGAAAACTATTTGAAAAACCCATCCATTGGCTAGTGCTGCTGCACTCCAGTAGAAAAGCCCCTCTACCTATCTCTTGAGAAGGCTAACAAGATAGTTTGTATCCCTGTGTTCAGCATGTTATAATACCATAGTAACAAGGGCAAGTGTTTAATTAAAGATTGCCACCTGGTTGAAGCTACCTGATTTCTTTACTGTTCCCATAATTAGCATTTATCAGATTATTTAAGATGTTTTTCATATTTTTCACTAGGTATACTTTCATTATTTCCAACTATGTTCCAAATTAATCAATCATTTCACTTAATGAACTGACATTTCATTGCATATTCAAATCCCCCTTCCAAATTAGTGAATGTTGTTGTTATATAAAAATCCTGTTACCCTGCAAATCACATAAATTCATCACTCTTTCATCCCTGTTTCAAGTTTGGAACTTAACCATGTCTTTTTATTTGCAATATAATTTATATCTATTTCATATTTGTTTATTGATGAGAATTCTGCTAAAATAATTACAATCTATACTCTTAACATTAGAAGCCTCCTTATTTTTACAGTAGTGGAAGTTAGCAGATTTCACAGGGAGCTTTAGATTACCATGGTTACACTGATGAAAAAAAAAGGAAGAGTATTTCCTGATATTTACTCTTTGATACAGATAATATTTTGTCTCTTCAGTCTCTAAACAGTCTTCAGTTGCCTGACGGTTATTTCTTTCTTACCAGAATAGTAAGTTGTTGTTTAGAATGCAATCTAGTTTTGCTTCAGACATCATTTGTGGGCTTTTTCATTTTGTATATAGTAATGCAGAAATACATTGATATTTTATGTTGATCATTATTTTGAGGGATCAACATACCTAAAAATGTGTGTACAAAAATATCTATCTATCTATCTATCTATCTATCTATCTATCTATCTATCTATCTATCTATCTATCTATCTANTATCTATCTATCTATCTATCTATCTATCTATCTATCTATCTATCTATCTATCTATCTATCTATCTATCTATCTATCTATCTATCTATCCTCATCTTACCAAACCTGTTCCCTTGTGTTTCATTTTCAACTAGTTATTCTTCTGATAGATGATTGTTGCTCCTTACTAACCTCCTGCTTCACTGTTATCTCCCTGCTTAAGCTCCTTGATTCTTTGGCTTAGTTGACAATCAAGTTTGCTAAGCTTATTATCTTGGAAGACTTCAAGTTGCCTTGTCTAGGGGTGTGAAGTCTGAGATAGTTCAGAAGTTTATGTCCACCCTGATGGCAGTGGAACTGACATATAATGATTATTATTTGGCTATGTCATAGTTAGAACGCATTCTCTTTGCCCTAGAATCCCCTGCTGTTGCTCCAATTAAAGAGAGGTTAAACCTATTCACCTGGTCTGTCTCAAGTGACTCATGGATCCCATTGGTTTTCAGAGTGAGTTTTTGATTGTTCTGCACATTCTGAGTGACTACTTCGAATGAAGAGGCTGTTAGGGCTTTGGATCAAATCATCACAATGTGGCCTCTTCTAATGGATCTCGGATTCTTAGTTCCTTGCTTTACGAAGGAACTAGGGGAAATGAAGTGCAAGAAACTCTGGAACAATACTACAAGCATTTTTGGAGGTCAACAATGAGTGAACCTGACCAAATACAAGTTAGAGTTGCTGTTAGGGACTACCTTGTAGCTGTAAGGGCAATAAACCATGAGTATTTCTCTTCCTTATTGTATTCACACATAGCTGCTTAGTGATCCAGTTAAAGTGACACAGTTCTGCCTGAGAAAGGTTGAATTGGAGACTTTCCTTCAGGGCTACTATGAAAAAATTGTTAGATATTTGTCAACTAAAGTCACTTGGGTCTGCTTCAAGCTTGACTTTGCCTTTGATCCTGATCCCATCGAGGCTGATTTGGTTATCTGGGTTGAGCTTGAGGTTGTTGATTTTAATGACATGGGCAAGATTCTTGGAATTGTTAACTCAGCCATTTGTGTGTTGGACTCATGGCCCTTTTGGTTAGTAAATGCTTTCCAAGAGATGACATTGATGTTCTTTGCAGTGGTGAATTCATTTTGAAAGATGGGGGGGGGGTGTCCCACTACTGTTTAAAGAGGCTGCGATTTACCCTGTCTTTATGAAGTTGTTGTTTGAACAACAACTCCATTCTTTCTTTCATAGAGTAGGCTGTTGAGAAGGTGGTTCAACTGCAGCTTCAAAGAATCCTGGAGAAAATTGATTATTTAGACCCTTTTTAGTCAGGTTTCAGATTGGCACAGAATCAAAATGGCATTGATCCAGTGGTGGGTTCCTCCCAGTTTGGACCGGTTTAGCTGAACTGGTAGTGCTTTGCTGGCCTGGGTCACTGGACCAGCAGTGACCCAGGCCTGCCATGCCTCCAAATTGGTTCCCCGGTTGATTCGGCATGGGTTTTTTCCTCCATTTTTTAATGTTCTGTGCATGCACAGACCTACCTATGGGCAACTGTATGTGCACCGAACTGGCAGTAATGCCAGCAGCAACCCACCCCTGCATTGATATGGATTATCTCTAATGGAAGTGGGATGGGGACATTGTATCCATCTTGGCTTTCCTTAATTCTTGGTGGCTTTTAATACTTCTGTCACCCTATCCTTCTGGACCACACCAAAGATTAGAGGGAGCTCACAATTTTGCACTGGTTCTTCTGCTTTCCCCAAGACAAGTTCTAGTTTGTAATTATAGAAAAACAGATATCTAGCATACAGTCCTTTTATTTATTTATTTTTTTGGGGGGGAGGCTCCAGGTTCAATGATTCTTATTATTAAATTATTAAGAATATTAATATTCTTATTAAATATCTTAATGAAGCCACTAGGTGAAGTCATCTGTCAGCATGGGGTGAAGTATCATGAATAAACATCTCTATATTTCCTCAAAAGGCTGACCAAGGGCTACTGTAGAAGTTTTCTCTTGGTGAGAGTATTCTCAGTGGATAAGGAATAACAAGCTTCAATTTAAACTTGGCAAGACTAAGTAGCTATGCAGTTTAGTCCATCGTTGCTTTTGAATATGGTAACAAACAATACTAGTGTACATTCTGGGTATTCTTCTGGATTCATGGCTCCTATTCAAAGAATACAGGTAGTCCTCAAGTTATAATCATAATGGATCCTGCCCGTTGCAGTTATATGTCATAAAAGTCATGTGATTGACCTGATTTTATGACCTTTTTATGGTGGTTAAGCAAACAGCAGTTGTTGTAAAATAAACACCATAGTCTTAAGTGAAATGCAGTAATGTTGCTGAGCATCCAAATTGTAATCATGTGACTACAGAGAGGAGGAAATAATCAAAACTTCAGATCTGGATCATAAGTGCCCTTTTATATGTCCATTTTAACTTTGAATGGTCACTAAGTGACTGGTTTAAGTTGAGAACTACTTGTAGATTGTGGCTGTGATCAAGAGAGTGTTTGCAAAACTTCATTTTGTGTAACAATTTCACCATTCCTGGATCAGGAGCCACTATTGATGATCGCTCACTTCTGAGTGAATTAGTGTAATGTGTTGTATATATATAATCCATGAAGACTATCTGGAAACTGCAACTTTTCCAAAACGCATTCATACCATGTAATGTATTGGCCTTGCTATGTTAAAAGATCATAAATATTGAAACAAGCTGTTCCAATGCAAATTGATTACTTGTTTTTAGTTATACAATCTTTTTTCCTCACCAGGTGAATTATCCCCTTGTGCCCAATTGAATGGAGGCTGTCATGATTTGTGTCTCCTGACACCTGATGGGCATGTTAATTGTTCATGTAGGGGTGACCGCATACTTACAGATGGTAACAGATGTATGTGTAAGTACAATTGTAATCAATCCATCCTCTCTCTCTCTCTCCCACCCTCTTTCTTTTAGCATTAATGATGACCAAAAAAATTCAAGCTAACCAAAATTTCACAAGTTTCTTCATAAATAGAATAGAAAGAATTAAAGTGAGTTTTTTAAAAAAATAATAGGGAAAACAACTCTGATAGATTCACCTATGTAGGAATAGATTTTTAAAGTATTCTTAAGTTTTCAAAATTCAAATTTATTCATAAACAGAATCAAAAGACAAAAGTTTTGTTATATTTCATTTCTTATAAGCTTACTTGGGGAGGGAAAGTTCAATACAAACTTGCATTCATGTTTGCATATATTTTCTTTAATATGCATTTTGATATGCAGCTTACACATTTTCAGCAAAATAATGATTGTATTCCAGTTTGCATGATACTACCTGTTTTATCTACTAAACCAATAAAAAGTATGGACATCCAGAATGATTGTTGTCATAACTGTTGAGTTGTGAATGAAACTAATTTTTTATTCAGTTAAGGAAGAAGTAATGTAAATAATGACGTTTATTAAAAACATGAGAAGCCTGGTACTGGAAGAGGACCAAAGGCTTATCCCATCCAGCATTCCATTTATTTATTTATTCATTCATTTTTTAAATGTATTTGCTGCATACCTCCATAACTTCCCAATAGGGTGACTGTTCCCATATTGTTCTTATTTTTATTTAAATTTATTATTCACCCAATTCTAATGGACTTTGGGAAGTGTACAAAATCACACACATACACAAGAAAAAACCCAATCCATAAAAAGAACATTTTTTCTCCTTGAAGAAGAAGAAAATATTTTGCTTCTCATCTCCCTCCCAGTTAAGTTCCTCCAATTTCTTGTTCCCATCTTCTAATAAATTATTGTAGCAATTGTGCATAGCGCCTTTATCTATTTTATGACAGTAAGATTTTGGGAATTAAATGCTATAAACCCTGCTATTTGAGTAGTAAATTGTTCTAAAGCAAATTTTCATCAATAAATTAATTTACAATCACTATACTATAATTTGCAGTTTTTTATGACAAAGATGCACCTCTCTGGCAATATTAATTAAAAGTGAATGGGACATACTGATGATTTATACTGATAAGAAACATGTTAATTAAGGCTGTAGACATTGTTGTAGTTCAGTGGAGTCTTAAAATGGCTGTGAAAATTATACCCTTAGAGATCAATTGATCTTGTATAGAGAGATACCTGATTTCCAAGTTTCAAGTGAATCTAATTAAAATATCAGTATCTCACAATAACATTTTATTTAAATATAGCCTTAAAACTGTCACACTTAGACCAATAACACACTGCAGAGAATCCTGTGTAGAGCTGATTTGCTACAAGTTCAAAACTGTAATTAACTTGGCAATATAGCCAGGCATTAATATTTCCCAAGGGTATTCAAATGCTTAATTGACATAAATTTCTTACATGCTGGTTGTTAGGAAACAAATATACATTCCTGTATTATATAAGTTTTCAAATCATGCATTAGATTGTCTATGTGAAGAAAGGAATTAGAAAACAAATGTTGCTCTATTGCTTCATCAGGTTGGTATCCATTTAGTTTCCAGTTCTGATTTAATTGTACAATGTTCAGTTTGGCTCTTGAATGCTAACTGACCAATTTGTGTGTGTGTGTGTGTGTGTGTGTGTGTGTGTATGTGTGTGTATTGATATAACATTAGTATGGACAGAGCCCATGATGTGTTTTGCATAGTGAGCATGATTGCCCTGCATTCTTATTCTTATTTCCAAAGAAGAAATGCATCTTTATAGAGGTATGGTTTATAGAGACTTATATTCTGAACTGCAGTGAGATGAAAAATAGATAGTTCAAAAATGGGAAGAAATTGTTTGAACAATCATTGAAATCCAAAATTATTAAGTAAAATCCAACTTTGCATAAATCAAAGCCCATTAATGGAATGGCTGTTTTGGTCTACAATTCCTGCATGTCCTTTGAATCTACTCTGAATCTACTCTTTGACTGGCTGAAATGTAAACCTGTGAAGAGTGAGAGACAGTTTTCCATTGTATAAAACATAACAGCTTTTGCTAATATAAACACTGCTAATAGAATCATACCAAAGCATTTCATACACAAATGGAATGTACAGTTGTGCAGCATATTCCATGAAGATAATTGAGGCAGGAATATAACACTTGCAAAATAAACATGTGAGAAGAAGCTGTGGAAATACCTATACTGGGAAATTCAAGTTCTAGTGACATTAGCGAAGTGTTAATAATTTGGAGGAGGGAAGGAAACTAATAATGGAGTGTCAAGCCCCTTTTCTTGTTCCAGAGCAAGGAAAATACAAAGGTGTTCACTTTTTGATAGATAGAAAAACTTGTGGCAGAAATTTTCTGTGGGTTCATGGCTTATAGTTACAAATTTTAAAATGGGACAAAAGAAGCTTGTTAAGGCTTTCTAAATATTATGGTATAAAAACTGCAATTTGGATGATATATTCTTTTGCACTCAGATACAGTGTAATAGCAAGTTTAAAAAATGAGATGTAGTCAGGGTTGGAGAAAATAGAATTTAAATATAGAGTACTTTGAACTGACTCATAATTGGTCCCACAGTCCTCTCAGTTCTTTGCTCAACACTACCATTCAACTGAAAACTAGTACCAGAAATTCATTGGGTCCAAATCACTTTAAGAAAAAAAGAAAGTTTTGAACAAAAAATGTGCAAGTGTCAGATACTTCCTGGTGTTTCAAGGTTGTATAGAGAAATATGGCTAAAAAATTTAAGAGTCACAGCGAATAAGATTTTGATCCTGTAAATGTGATCCTGGCAACAGAAAAGATTGGGAGGTCATCCTGGAAAGCATTATGAAGCTTTGGAAGTCAAGCTCATCTTAGACTGAATTTCATGTTAAGCTGACATCCATACGATTTCTTTGTGCCTAAACAAAGATGAACTTTGTCAATGCTAAAATATAATAATAGGTTTTGGAATAAAAGCAATCTAAATTGGAATAAAAGCAATTCAATTGATTGTTAACAAAGGAATCAGTAGATTATTTCTCAGAAATGAAAGCTCTTTCAAAGAGGAAGAAGCCAGCTGCTAGACTGAATTAAACCTATTTGAATAATCAGAAAAGAAATACTATTGAAGTAGTGTGGATCCTGTTATATAGTTAGCTGATCTATCCTGTATTGGCAACATTTAAGAATTGGGACACTTTGCCTCCAAGATATTTGGAAAATTAGTTAGCTGGCTAGGCAATGATTTGGAAATGGGTATGTATTTGTACAAATCTGCAATTCTTTGGGAGCAATTCCCTGCATTTGTTCACTAGAGAATATACCACCATTAGATTCTGCTTCTTCTGTAACTGGCTTTGTGTTTTTTTCTCTATTCTGAAAACCACAAGTTTTGATTCTACTGGATTTTCTTGAATAAATCTTTTGTTAGGGGATTCCAGTAAAAATATAATTGGTATGCCTATGAAAAGCCCAGAGTTTTAATTCCCTGGCAACAATACAAATGGTCAGATTATTTAGATGCATTTATGCATTTAGATTATTTAAATGGGACCCTGTTCATGGATCACTTATTGAAAAAAAAGTCATTTCAGTATTGTGTAAAATCAGTATGGATAGAATAAAACCAGTATGAATAGAGATCAATACAACAGGTGTTTGGTCTATGGCATGATCTTACCCTCATAAATCACAGAGCCATCTAGTTTACAGTTGTGCTGCTATGAGCAAGCTGGATTTACATAAATACAGAGTTGAATATCCAAGACACTGAATAGGGCCACAGATTAACTTGAAGTATGATTTTATCATAAAATCAAGGAATTATGTGTGTTGAAAATTTTACCTATCATTTAGCTCAGCTAAGGAACTGAAAACACATATAGACAATTAACTAAAATTCATGAACTTACACATTTCAAGACAAATAGACAAATATAGTATTTTTGCATATTCATTTTTGGATGCAAAAGTAATATCTTTTTTCTTCTCAAAATAATCATGAAAGCATTTTAACTTTTTAAAAACAAAATCCTTCCCACATTCCACCTGTTGTATCTTTTCCATACAACTTTATGTACATAAATATCACATATAACGTCCCCAAATGACTGTTTTAAATAAATAGAATGTGAAATGATTCAAATACTTAGCTACAATGTATTTAAGTTGTTGTATCAGCACAAGTTCTCCTTCTTCATTTTTGGGTCCCATGTTGATAGAGGGAAAGTTCAATTTCTTTGTGAAATTGATACCATCTGGTTTTCCTGCCTCATCAGTTTCTTGCACAAGAATATCTCTCTTGTTCAACCATATCTCCTACTCCACAACGCTAAATTTTTAAGTCTGCAATTGGCTTTTATGCTATTAACTTTGAAGTGAATGTCCTTTCTTTTTTTTAGCTAAAAATGTGTCATGCAATTTCTACTCTGAATTTGAATGTGGAAATGGTGAGTGCATTGATTACCAACTTTCATGTGATGGCATAGCTCACTGTAAGGACAAGTCTGATGAGAAATTATTGTATTGTGGTAAGTCAGTCCACTAAATGTCCATTTTTTCAATTTGATTCTCTTGCCATGTCTTGTTTTTATGTAAAGCTTTTAGCTACTGATTCATGTCTGCATGCCTAAATATTTCAACTGTAATGATGCTGTGTAAATGACAAAAGCTATTTCTCTGTTTTAATTTATAAGAAAACAGAATCTGTCGGAAAGGGTTTAAGTCTTGCTTAAATCGGCGCTGTATATCTAGTAATCAAATTTGTGATGGCAAAAATGATTGCGGTGACAATTCTGATGAAAGAGGTTGTGAAGGTACTTTTTTTTTGCAGAATAATACTTTGAATATTGATACAAATTTAAAATTAAGTATCATTAAAATGTTCATTGGAATGGGGTGTTTGATGAAACCAAGGACTGTAATTCACTATTTACTCAATGCAGTTATCGTACATGAAAAATCTGGGCAAATATTTTTTTTTTTTTAAAAAAAAACATAATTAACTTCACATTTATGGGATGAAATAATGTTGGATCAGTAACTATCACTTTAGGGCCAGTTAGTAACCTGAGAAGGTTATCTTAATACAAAATGTTGGGATCGGCAATCATTTGATGTCTAGAAACATATGTACATACCTACAAACACACACAAACACACACACATTGGGATGAAGTGTCTCTTTATCTATCCTCATCAGTGCAAACATGTTTTTTTAAAAAAATGTCTTTCCCTTTTCTCCTGCCTCTAAAAATATCCTCTTTATAGTTTCTGGATGTTCTTCCATGGAATTCCGCTGTTTAGATGGAACCTGCATTCCAAAATCAGCTCAATGCAATCAGATTGTGGATTGTTTAGATGCTTTGGATGAGAAAAACTGTAGTAAGGAATTCTGCTTTTTAATTTATTTATTTATTTATTCCATTTGTATAATACTTTATTTTTTTTCTCCCTTCAGACCAATATGTACTTCATGTATAATTAATTTGTGTTTTATATAACGCCTCAGAGTTTACACAGACAATAAGCTCAGTGGAACTTGAATACATTGAACATGATAAGAATACATCCTGTGTTTGATCAATGACAGGCAATATAATGTTTATGGGAAATAAATTGAACAATATAAGATAAATTCTAGTAATGAGATCAAACTTTAAAAAAATATATTATAATGTATGATAATTGCATTTTATGTTCTCAGATAACACAGATTGCAATAATTTCTATAAACTTGGAGTGAAATCTTCAGGATTTATTAGCTGTAACTTTACTTCACTCTGTATACTACCAGAATGGCTGTGTGATGGATCTAATGATTGTGGAGATTATTCAGATGAATTAAAATGCCCAGGTAATTGGGGGAAAATATTTTTCTTCATAATAATGAATGCTATTGATTACTGCCATTTTGTTTTAACAATTTATATTCAAGATACCATGATAACTAGAAATACATTGTTTCTTTTATTTTACTGAAGTTCGAAATAAGCATACATGTGAAGAGAATTATTTTGGCTGTCCTAGTGGTAAATGTATACTGATTTCCTGGGTATGTGATGGTCAGAAAGATTGTGAAGATGGAAGTGATGAATTACTCTGTGGTGAGTATTTTATCATTAAGCCATAAACATTTCTTGCAAAAGAGCTGTTGATAACAAGTTTTCAGAGCACATTACAAGACAATTAATTTTTAAAAACAAAAGCTAAATTAACATCATGACATTCTGACAATTTTATATGAGTTAATAAAGCAAAAATATTTGAAAGTAAGCATCTCTGAATTCTTCTGGCATAGGCAAGGAGAACAGTTTAATGGTGACCATGAGTTGGGAGTGAAGAATGTTCCAACTGATACTAGCAGCATTGTGGCATCAAAATGGAATCTCTGTCTTTTTATTATATGTCTTATGATTATGTCCACCCAAAAGGATGCTTCTTTCATCATTCTGATTGATGCAACTGCTCTGTCTTCAGAACATTTTTTAATGAAAACTGGATCCCATAAAACTAAATGTTAAAATAATCCCACATATTACATCTAGACTTTCAGTTTTCTGTTCACAGATGTGATTTCATTATAGCACAAATAGTTATAAAACTGCTTAAATGTTCATAAACTTTTTTTTTTAATCAGATTAAATTGCATGTAAAAATGAGCCCATCTCTGTGTATCTGAACAATAGCTGAGATAAATTTGTACAGAAAATATTTTGTTCATATTTAGCACTCCAGTTATAAAGAACATACAATATATTTTCACAATGCTGCCATTGGATGCATTACAATTTAAATCTTTTAGATTCCTCCTGTTCATGGAATCAGTTTGCTTGTTCTGAACAAAAATGCATCTCCAAACAATGGACTTGTGATGGAGAAGATGATTGTGGAAATGGTTTGGATGAAAGTAAAACTATTTGTGGTAAGTTGTATAATGATGCTAATTTTAAAATGTCCGAAGCTATCTAGAGATTTATTAGCATATCAGAGGAAAACTGTTGGATTTGGCAATGGCATGGATCTTGTGAAATAGTTATATCTTTCAGAAGATGGAAGTTTATGGTTTATTTGTATTTGTATGGGTTTTTTTTTAATTGTATGAACTGCCCAAAGTCATATATGAAAAATTGGCAGCTATACAAATTGAACAGATAAATCAATAAATAAATCTGGCATAGCTTGTTCCAAATTTTAGTATAATTCAAAGTGTCTTCAGATATTAGTGATGCACTGTTTGAAAGTACAACCTTGTGAGATGATTTGGGCTGAAAGAGAATGACTGGCCCAAATCAGTGTCTAGACTGGTGTTTTAACCACTAGACTAAACTGCTAAACTTCACCTTAGGTGTTGTGCCCAGGTAAAAGTGATTTATTTCTGGTAGTATGCCATGTTCATATGTTGGATTATTTTAAAAGAATATTTGAAAATATATATTGTGTGAAGCATAACATCAGGAGTTTGTTTGTTTTCTATTCTTTTGTATGTGTTTCACAGGCTCAGTAACTTGTGCTCCAGACATGTTCAGCTGTTTAGATTCATATGCCTGTGTTCCTCTACACTGGCTTTGTGATGGTGAAAGAGACTGTCCTAATGGAAGTGATGAACTTGCTACAGCAGGATGTGGTAAAAGCCATTTTGCAAGATATACAAAACATATTTTCCAATTCAGTTTTGGCTAATGAGACGTTAATGTTTGTTGTTTGTGTTTGGTAAGGCAAAAATACTGTGGTTTAATAGACCTAAAGAAATTGATCTGATTCTCAATAAGAAGCATATCTGCAATGAATCCACCTGTAGGTTTTTAAGCACCCAAAGAATAGAGGGAATTGTCTACAATAGTGATCAATAGAAGTTTAAAGACACATGTATGAAATAAAATCTTGCTTCCAATCATGTGTTCAAGTGAAAAATGATTCTGAATGTAAGATGATCCATTGAAAAATAGAATATTTATATAAAAATGACAACAATGTTATAAATCCTCTTAATTTTATCATCTGGCAGAAGTGTGGTTTATGTCTTTTAAGTATAAAATAAGTGTTACTGGTTGTGATAATTGGCTGGTGAGACTTTTTTAAAAGTGTGAAATAAGGGGAAAAGAAAATATTTGACCACTTTGCTATGTATAATAATGAAGATATCTCAAATCTCCATGACTTTTTTTGTTGACTGTTCTCTTTTCCCCCTGTTCCATTGCAATTGGAGTTAATAGCACAACTCTTTCTTAAATCATTTGTTCAATCTGTCCCATTACAGAAAGTGTATACAAACATGACCTAATTTACCTTTCCTTTTTCTTCTTTTCTACCATATTATCAGACTTCAAAAGCCCTGTATCATACAATGAAAATCCACATGGGACTCAGGAAGCATTTGAAATATTCTATACAGACAATCTTTAAAGAGTGCAATTAAAGTATTCGTCCAAGTTGTATTAACTTCAAATTATTTTTTCTTCTGTTCCTCTGAGGGAAGCCTGGTGGGAGGAGTTAAAAGATTACAATATCTGAGTTTTTTCTTTGTAAGATTGAATATTGTCCAATATGGAAAGTATCGTTATGTTTCCTTTTGCTAAGTTAACTTCATTCTTCCCCTTTTATAATTTTTCTTAGCGCCCAGTAATACTTGTGATGAAAATACTTTCACATGCCACAATAAAGTCTGCATTTCTAAACTGTTTGTATGTGACCACGATGATGACTGTGAGGATGGATCAGATGAATCCCTAGAATGTGGTAAGTATCTTTGACAATTATTCACTACAAAAAAGTTCTTAAATTTTATCTAATTCTATCTTGTAAAAAGAAAGTAAGGTATAAAAGAATAAAAGAATTCAATTAGGTAACATTGTTACTCTATTTTTATACTTTTCTTATTTTTACTGTAAACTTTAAAGAAAAGTAGCAATCTGTTTGAATGAAAAAATCCAGCTATGGCTGAAATCCTGAACATTAAATTAAAGAATTATTTAACTCTGGACAGGATATATTTCTCCTGGCAGACTTAATAAGGTTCCTTGATCCATCCTTGATATGATACAAAATACTTAGGATTGAATAATTTATTTTCCATTTATTTAATAAATGATTTTTTTTTCATCTGTTCAAGTATGAATTCAGTATAACTGGTATATTAATCCATAGCAGGCTAAAATTTAAAGCAAGGACTAGCAAGATTCATCTTGAATTATGCTGTTTCAGTATTAGCAATATGTTAAGGTGACAGAATTTGACCTTTGTTTAATATGTGAAAAGCTGTGTATCAACTCAACCTTTCAGAATTATATCATCTGTATGGGTAAATGCAAGTCTGGGTAAATTTGATAGGAGACAGAAACTCATTATTAGATAATGAACCTTATGAATTCCTCTGTGTACTATTGCATACTATTATCTCAATCTTTTTATTTACTTAATTGCTGGATCTTAAATGCTGTTCAAGTCCAATAGCACATCCAAAAGTGACTTCAGCAGGATCTAATTATCCTGAAGCTCTTCCATAAAACTGGATTATACAAAAATGCCAGATTATGCAAGAATTATACAAAGCGAAATGTATTATTTTGATGTGTTTGGGTTCTGTAGTGGTCTTCTCTTTTCCAGAAAATCTGATTATAGAAAATTACATTACATAATTTTCTAATTTTGCTTTACTTCTGGGATTTTTTTATAATTAGTTTACACACACACACATACATACACACATACATGTTTTAAGTTTTAATATATTAATTTACTTTAAACAAGTGTATTACTGTTAGATATAGACACCTGTCTCAAAATTGAGATTCTCTGCCTCATATTCTAGCAGAGAAGATTACACTTAAAGTTTACTGTAAACAGTAAGTTAACAGTAAAATTAAGGAACTGAACTTACTGTTAACATTTACTGTGTTTTGGAGACAGGTCTCAATTGCACATATACTATTCCTTGAATTCCAGAAAATTGTTGCTGCTATTGCTTTTGTAATTTCCCACTAAAGTTTTTCACTAAAATTAGATTTGAATAGTTAGAAACTGTATCATATTTCTTGGCTGAAATCTTTTTTTTTTTTTTTGCCATTCAATTTAATTGCAATATATCCCTGTCATGGAAGAGTCTTATGGGGCTATAATCCTATACTGGAATTTGTTGATTATGCACAGGCATTACCCAAACAGGCAAATTGATGGGTGAGATAATAAAGAATTTGAAATTTCATTTTAGCTAGGATTAGTAAACAGGCAAAAAATATTTTTGTCTTACCTTGTGAATGATACCCTGCATGCAAAGATAAATTGTAAGGCTATAAATGATATAAATATCTAAAAGGTTTTAATCACTCTGGTTTTAGGCTATCGCCATTGTAATCCTGGAGAATTCAGCTGTGCTGATGGAAGATGCCTCTTAAATTCTCAGTGGCAATGTGATGGAGATTTTGATTGTCCAGATCATTCAGATGAAGATCCTATTAATATAAAATGCAGAAGTGCAGGTTCAGCTTTTTAAATATTTGTGCAATCTTGCTTTTAAGTCCAAAATAATTTTCTAGAATGAGGCAGTTACTAAAATAAGTATTTCTACTTGCAGACTACTGACAAAGCATGCTGATTGGGTAATTCATTAATTGCCTCTTATTATTATTTGACATGTCCTTTCTGTAGCACCATACTGCAGATATCTTAATCCAGATGGTGTTTGAGACTTCTCTCTTTCCCTCAATTCATCACTTGAAAACTGTCATGCTTTGATCCAAGGCATGTGCAAAGGAAGAGAGGTTGAAAGATAGAAAAAAAATCAGGCTGAACAGAACTTAAGTTAGGTCTCTTTCAGGAGTGTAGGGACTCTAGACTGATGATGCATTTAACTCCACCTCAGGTTCAGCTTGATCATCTACTGCAATATAGAATTTATAAAGGCAAAGCATTGATACCTGTTGCTAGTCCTTTAAGATAATTCAGATAAGAAAAACCAAGGGATACTAACTTTGTCTTTATTGTAAAGTTACATTAACAGAATCTTGCAAGATAGAAAGTATTTCTCCACTCCTTCTCTTTTACTCTCCCCTTCTGTGGATTGAAGTATACTTTACATGACAGTGGTCTATTCTGTGGCTCTTCCTCCTGTCTTTCAAGGTCATTCTCATATACTATTGCAACTATAGAGAGTAAGGAATTCACAGTAAGGAAGAAGAAGGTAAACAGATTCAGCCTTGAAAGATTTATCATATACAATTTAAATAAAAGCAATTTCCACCCGTTTGTGGAGTTTATTTCCTGGTCTGGTCTACTTTAAGGCCAGCCTTAAGTCAACAGGAAGAAAGATCCATCATAAATAAAATTTTGTATTTAAAATAATCAAGCATTATATTTAGCAAACACATAGACAGTTGCCAAAATAGTTGTTCATTGAAATTAGTGCCCTATGTTCCATAACCATTAATATTTCTAGATTGTACTGTTTATAGATTTATAAAAGCTATAATAATTTACAAATATAAAATTTATACATATTGTACAAATATTTTAAACCTATATCAGTACATGCAAATGTATAATTTGTTTGTAAATGAAACTATAGATTATAAACCTGATGACCATACTTTTTGCATTCTGTTTCCTTTTACCCATTTATTTCTTTTTTTTAGAACAGTCATGCAACAATTCATTTTTTATGTGTAAAAATGGCAAGTGCATCCCCCAAGAAGATGTTTGCGATGCCAAACAGGATTGTGGTGATGGGTCTGATGAGAGAAATTGCCATATAAATGAATGTTTGAGTAAGAAAGTTAGTGGCTGTTCTCAAGACTGTCAAGATCTTCCTGTTGGATACAAGGTTGGTAGTTTAGGAGTTTAAAATAATACACTATAAAAAAGACTTTGAAATCCCCAACTGACATAGAAATGCTAATCATATGATGCTTGTATTTGTATATTTTGTTAATAGTAATACAAGTAATAAAACTTTATAGCCCATACTTCATTTTACTTTCTATGTGTCTTAGGAAAAGGAAATAGTTTTCTGGAAGAAAAATAAATTGAAAATTGTAGGTAGAGATTTTTTTTTTTAAAGAGAACCGAGGTACACTGAGATCTTATGCACTGGAGACAAATTCCTTGTTTGTCCAATCACACTTGGCCAATAAAGAATTATATTCTGTTCCGTTCCATTCCGTTCCGTTCTGTTCTACTCTACTCTACTCTACTCTACTCTACTCTACTCTACTCTACTCTACTCTACTCTACTCTACTCTACTCTACTCTTAATGCAAGTCCGGAGAACATGCAAACTTCTGTTTAGTTTTAAAGTCTAATGTAATCAATTGGAGGTATTGAAAAAATAACAAGTAGCTTTAAAGTATGTGGCTATGCCAATTTATGTGTCTAATATATAATTTAAAAATATGGGTTCATTACTGTATTCTTTTATGTTAATCTCACAACAAAAGACTTGATGGATTTTTACAGTTGAAATACTGAAATAAGATATTATGTACAATAAATATATTTATTTATTCAATTTCTATAGCCCCTCATGTCAGACAATGACTGTGGGTGACTTACAATTCAAAACATATAATACACTAAAACTATAACTATTTAAAACAATAAAAAATTGAAAACATCCAAAATAATATACACAAATTCACAAATCAGTCAGTAGTTGAGGCATTAAAAATACCACAGCAAATATAACATAAATATTTTAATGTTCTTCTAATTGAATGCCTAGTAAACATTCAACTTGCTAAATTGGGTTTATGAGAAGAAATTCCAAATGTTGAGGTTATTGTCCCATTAACTTTTTTTCTCACCATTAATCTTCATGTTCTAACTCTTGTAACTTTTCCACTTCTCACACCGGGAGGTGAAGATACCCCCCCCCCAAAAAAAAGTAATGCCTACCTCTCTTTGGTTCACTAAAAACAATACAGTTTTTTTTAGAAATTTTCACGAAATAACCTGTAGCTTTCCTATCACCTGCCTAGTATAACTGTACCCCAATGCTATTGGACTTTTAAGAGCCTTGAATAAATGCTAACTTAGTGTCTATCTAATTTTGACTAAATGGTGTGTCTTTCTAGCATGACAACATTTTGAACGGGATTGAAAAAACCTGACCTGGTAAAATAAAGATGAATGAATTTGATCTGTCTATTTTTGTTGCTGTTTCATAAGTATATCATGTTCCATTAATTCTGCCTGTCTTCTAACTTTAACTTTGACGAGGTCAAAAAGTTCACTGTAAGTCCTCTCGCCCAGGACCTTTTGTAATTACTGGTGCATTGCGGAAAAATGCAAATTCCATTTTATATTAATTTAATGTATTTATAGTCAAAGTAATCTCAGACATTTAGAATAACACATTAAAGAGAAATTTGGAAAACACTTCAAGAGTTTAAATCTTGTTGCTTGTTTTTTTGTAGAACTGAACTTATATTACTATCTTTAAGACTATTAATGAGGCAGAACCTCTTCTTGTAAAACACTATCCCCTGGGCTAGAGATGTTACTGTATGTCAGCAAAAGAAATACAGCTACAAATTTATCTGATATTAGGTGCAACTTTAAATCCTTTCTTCCTCTTCTCTTTTAGAAAACAATAAGGACAGGTTTTTTTTTGTTTTTTTTTTAAAAAGCAGGTTTATGGAACTAGGCAAAATGTATATATGAATCCAGAGAGAAGGACAACTGATTAAGAAAAAATGGAACAAACAAAAAAAATTCAAGCTGAGGAAAAGATTCAATGCTCTCTTTTCATCTGCATTTTTTCTTAAAAACTATGCTACAAACCATACTTTCCTAGCCAACTTTATAAAAGAGAAATAGAATCCATTTCAACTTTTTTATATACACATATACACATTTTTGCTATGAAATATTCCAAAAATCCAATTAGACAAATTATAAAATTGTGAAATATTGCCTATGTCTCTGTGTGAAAAAGCTCAAAATGAGCCATGGGTTTTTCTTTGAATTCTGAGATTTGGATAATATGTTTTAAAAGTATTTCAACAAAATTGATATTGCATTAACCAAGGCAGATAAGGAAGTGGAAATAGCCCTAGCCTTTACATGCTTAATACATAATGTGCTTTATTTTTCTTTATAGTGTAAATGCTGGCCTGGTTTTCATATGAAGGAAGATGGCAAAACATGTGTAGATATTGATGAATGTTCATCTGGCTTTCCATGCAGTCAGCAATGCATCAATACATATGGGACTTACAAATGCTTGTGTATGGATGGTTATCAAATGCAACCTAATCCTCAACAAGGATGTAAATCCCTTTCAGGTAAACCTTTTCAGCTACAAAACAATTAAAGTCACAGTCAAATTAAGCATAAAGAATAGGATTTAATTTTTGAAGTATTAAAACATTTATTTGCAACTATAAGTTTTAGCAAAATATATGTATATAAAATGCAACAATGAAATCAGTACATCCCTCTTATATTAACAGTATTTCAGGATATGTTTTTGAATGTTCCTTACCACCATGGCAAACAATGCAATTGTTTCAATGCATGTTTGTCTTCATTAAACAACACATTTTTTTTGTTCTATTGGATTGACAAGGATATAATAAATTAGTTCTAGGTTCTTGATAGAGTTTGCAATATAGTAAGTAACAGGTCAGATATTCCACCTATATATTATTGTATATGCATAACCAGACTGCAGTAAGTACCACAATCCTCTATATCTTCCATCCAAATAAGCTGTTGGCTTATTTAAAAGCAAAGTTCTGTAAAAACTTGTCTCAGGCAATGAGATATAAGTGTCTGTAAATAAAGTAACATTCCTTTACAAAGTAAGGTGAACACAGCTGGTAGAACTAGTTGTTACATATACATTCCAAAATGTATTAACATTAAAAATCTATATTTTCTTTTCAGAACCACTATAGAACTCACGAATGGTTGGAAATTAAAATATGCATTAATTTTGAACCAAATGATTCTAACATTTTATGTCAGCTGTTACATATTATCTATTCGTTCCTTGAAAACCAAGCTGTGTTTATAAATTCATTTTGGAAGTAAAACTTAATAGGCTGTGTTAATTCTTCTCTTGTGTTTCAAAGGCTATATTAAAGTACTTTAAAAGGTGCTAATTAAATCTCTTGTTCAGCTTATGACTAATATTTGATCTTGTTTGAAATATTATGCTTTTAATGTTTTTTTATCCATACCAATGTTCAAAGCATATAGCATTTAATTTTTCACTATTTATATTTCTATTCCAAAGTTTCATAAATTAAATAAAAAGCTACCATTATTTTTTCATATAGATGAAGAGCCATTCCTAATTCTAGCTGATCATCATGAAATACGAAAAATTAGTACTGATGGATCCAACTATACTTCAATGAAACAGGTATACTCTAAATGTCACACATAGGATCCCTAGACAATGTACAGAAATCATAGATCTTTTTTAAAAGGTACAGTGGCCATAAACAGTACAACATCATCATAAGGAAATGTCAATGCAGAAGTGAATAAAAACATTTTAGATGGGCAACAGAATTAACTCTTTCCCCCAAATGTTATATATTTACCATAACATATACCACTGAAATCAATTCTGCGTGTATATTACAACAAAATTAGTTACTTGTATAACTTGATAGGAGTTTCTTTAAATGATTATACTGTTTTTAATATACAAGTATCATTTTACTAAGCAGAAGTGTTATGAATGTAGGGAAATAAAGCAATTAGTGATTTATGGTTTTGAAACATATTTACATACATATTTAAATGCGATTTTTGCAGGTTTTTTTAAGTTGAAATTTGCAGGTTAATACAGAACTAAAGAGAAAGGATTTTTTTGAGTAAATAACATAATGATATTGACCAAGAACACAATATTAATTTACCTATCTGTTGTTCTCTTCAGTGTTTTTTATTAGTATTTTGGGTTTCAAATCATTAGTTCCTCTGTTATTGTTTCTGAACACATTCTTGGGAAGAAAATGCTTTCAATCTATTTTAAGTAACATATGCAACTAGACTAGATTAGGTGGGCATCCTATCATCTAATCAAAGTTATATGCAGAAATGTATTGTTAATTCTCAACTGTGTTTTAGAGACTGAGAAGAACAGAAATAACAAGCATTTAACCACTTAAGGCCCTATACTCAACTATAACTGACTTCTATTGTAATTAATTATTAATTTTGCATGACCATACTGACTTTTGTGAGTCCAGTAGTAATACTTTGGAGCAAGAAAAACTGTTTTCATGATTTCTCATTATTCAAGTGCCTCTCATAAACTATTGTTTTCTTTAAAACTGTTACACAGTAGTTAAGCCATCATTTGGCACAATGATGGTGAAATTGTATTCAAATCATATAAAATGTGAAAAAAATGGGTGCAGTTGTAAAAAAAAAATACATATACTCTCTATTACTGGTGATTTTCTCTTGGAAAGCCAGTTTTCAAATGATCTAGCTTGAGCTGGTTGTACCTAATGTTACCTCCAGAAAATTGAAGAATTCTAAAGCAAATACAGTTACTTTATACAGCCCACCTAATGCAGTTATAGTTCAAGCATTAAAGTATACTGCATCCTTGCAAAATTAAAAGTGTTGGATCATAAATATATATATTACTAATATACTCCTCAAAGACCACAAATGACTCCCCCTGAGTATATTTCATGCAGAATTGCCACAATCTACCAACCCCATGGTAGCCTACTTTGCAGGGAATTAAAAACAGCCTGAACGGACCTTTAAAGACTCCATATCAGATTGAAAACACCTGGAGTGGATGCTCCATCCTGACTTGAAGATCAGTATCTCAACACAGCTCAGGATATCTATATCCAATGATACTCAAGAAGTTTTTTTTTTAAATAAGTTAGCAGTTTATAGTGTTATCTACAAAAACAGTTTTTAATCCCCCTCATCCCTGAAAATGAATAATATAGTAATTTGGCAGGAAGGATGGAGTGAGCAAATTACTGCAATCTGTCATTTTAGCAATAGCATGTTTTGTATTTAAAGCTGGACAATCTTCTGTAGCAAGGAAATACAGATTTGCACTGTCAAAAATATTTGTGATCTAAAATCATTTCAATTAAGGTCAGCTAAACAAACATTGCTTTAGGATTAAATGACTTGCAGGCATTTTAGATCATAATGTAATTTTTAACTTACCCTTAAAAACAAAATTGAAGTAATAATTGAGCAATATTTCCTTCCTACAATTTTGGAATGCTTCCGAGTACTGCCAATTAATCAAGGAATACTATTCAAAATTCTTTTGGGGGAAGGAGAAAAAGAGTAGAAGATGGAAGATGACTATATAAACTTAATATAAATCTTTCTAAACTTGACTGTAAAAAATATGATTTCTGTAATGGCGTTGTCAAAGTCTGGAATGCTCTACCTGATTCAGCTACAAATTTTCACTGTTTCCATCACAAACTGACTTCCATGGACCTTACATCATACTTAAGTGGTTAGTAGAGGGGGCACATATAAGTGCACTAACGTGCCTATCATCCCTGTCACTGTATTTTTATTCTTTTATTCTTGTTCTCATTTTTGTTTGACAAATTCTAATAAACAAACAAACATATCAGAAAGTCTCAAATCTTGATACTTCATGAATGAGCCAGGAAGATTGTGGAACAAGAAGGCACTGTAATCTCATATTAAATCTGGGGGTTTATATTGTCTTATAAAGTTCTCTGCAGTACCTTTACTCCAACAATAGGAATTTATAATTTTCAGGAGCCTGAACTCAGGCAGCAGAACTCAGGAAATCATAGCTAAAGCAAGCTTGATATATATTTTAAATTAGCTATTAATTTTAGTTTTACTCCACTGAATGTTTAGATTTATTTTTCTTTTATCTCTGAACATGTTTAGGTTTCATAGCCCCTTACTCTCTCCTTATTCATTTTTCTAAGGTTTTATCTCTTGATAATTACTGTTCTATGTTTTCAAAAGTCAGCCATATTTAGTCTGCCATATGTAGTAATTAAATTAAAGGTAATAAATAGTGCCTTTTGGAAGAACATCCCTCATCTATGCATATTCAATTCACCATAGACCAGTTTAGACCAAGTTATACACCAGTATGAGCAAAATACTCTGTGAATCTAAATAGATAATGAATATAATAAAGTGTAAGACAAAGTTAAAATACATTTTTAAAACAAGCTTATATTTATAAATGAGGTTCAGAATACAGCCTGTATTAAATTATAATATAGACAATAAAATTACATTAAGTACACTAATATCCAAAATTATAAAAATGTGATAATATCTACCATTACAATTAATAGAATTTGACTGGTGGAAAATTGGCCCATCATGTCCCACAGATCTTCCATGCAGATGCATAAAACCTAGCTACATGCACTGTAAAATCATCATTTCGTTATAGGCTTAATCTGAGTACCTAGGATACAGAGGTGGAATTCAGCAGGTTCTGACCAGTTCTGGAGAACTGGTGTTGGAAATTTTGAGTAGTTCAGAGAATGCTTAAATACCATCTCTGCCTGGTGTCCCCCCCATCTATTCTCTGCCTCCCAAGTCCTAGATGATCGAGAGGGAATGGAGATTTTGCAGTATCCTTCCCCTGCTACGTCCACCAAGCCACACCCACCAAGCCACACCATGCCCACCAAGCCATGCCCACAGAATCAGTAGTAAAAAAAACTTGAATCCACTGCTAGGATATTATCAGAGGTAAGATGATTTTGCTTTGGATGTCTCCATAAAAGGAGCAACAAAGAACATATTCTGTAGTTTCTACCTCTCTGGAATCACAGGAGCCGAGCCTTTCAGCCAATGGTACTTTTATATAATTCCCCATCCAATACTGCAGAAGGGACAGCATTATATCAGTCAAGAGAGAAAGCTTTCAAATGGGTCGGCTGCAGTGACATTATATCTACTACATTTTGTACTGATGATAAAAAAGCTAGGGCCTTCCCTATATCTGTCTGCTGCTCTGTGTCCTTTTTCCCTTTGCTTCAGGGTTTGTTTCACCTAATGGTATTTCATCTTGAGAACTGAAGGGAAAGTGTAATTTAGATTTAAAAGGTTAAATTCAACAGTCTTGATCCATGTGGACTGGTTGTCCTGAAAGCTAGACCTTAACAATAGAAATAAGATTTAATCAAAAATTTATAGAAGAGAAACACTCTTGACTTCCGACCTTGGAAGGATGAAAGGCTGAGTCAACCTCAAGCCCGTAAAGATTGAATTACAGACTGTGGGCAGTGTTAGCCCGTAATACTGCATTCTAACCATTGACTACCAAGGCTCATATATAAGATGCTAAAGTCCATGTACAATGAAATCTACAGGGAAAGCTCATCCTCATGGAGGCCAGAGTGGCCTTCAGTTTTTAACCCATCATTAATTAACCAACCACACGCAACATGTAATCCTAAATGGAATTACATCTACATGGAGGGAAGTATGCAGTGGAGTACCCCAAGGCTCTGTTTTAGGCTCAATACTCTTCAACATCTTCATCAATGATTTGAATGAGGAATAAATGGAGAATTCATCAAATTTGCAGATGACACCAAGCTGGCAGGAATAGCCAACACTCCAGAAGATAGGCTTAAGATACAGAAGGATCTTGAAAAACTTGAACATTGGGCACTATCTAATAAAATGAAATTCAATGGTGAAAAGAGTAAGGTTCTACATTTAGGCAAGAAAAACAAAATGCACAGGTACAGTATAGGTGGTACCTTGCTCAATAGTAGTAACTGTGAGAGGGATCTTGGAGTCCTAGTGCACAACCACTTAAATATGAGCCAGAAGTGTGCAGCAGCTGCCAAAAAAGCCAACACAATTCTAGGCTACATAAACAAAGGAATAGAATCAAGATAATGTGAAGTGTTAATATCATTTTATAATGCCTTAGTAAGGCCACACTTGGAATACTGCATTCAGTTTTGGTCGCCATGATGTAGAAAAGATGTGGAGACTCTAAAAAGAGTACAGAGAAGAGCAACAAAGATGATTAGGGGACTGGAGACTAAAACATATGAAGAACGGTTGCAGGAACTGGGTATGTCTAGTTTAATGAAAAGAAGGACAAGGGGAGACATGATAGCAGTGTTCCAATATCTCGGGTTGCCACAAAGAAGACGGAGTCAAACTATTCTCCAAGGCACCTGAGGATAGAACAAGAAGCAATGGGTGGAAACTAATTAAGGAGAGATGCGACTTAGAATTGAGGAGGAATTTCCTGACATTTAGAACAATTAATCAGTGGAACACCTTGCCTCCAGAAGTCGTGAATGCCGCAACACTGGAAGTCTTTAAGAAGATGTTGGATAGCCATTTGTCTGAAATAGTATGGGGCTTCCTGCCTGGGCACGGGGTTGGACTAGAAGACCTCCAAGGTCCCTTCCAACTGCTATTGCTATTGTATATTGTAATACTTGATAATTAATCTTATAGGAATAGTTATCTTAACTTTATTAATTTGTTTATAGTAACTGCTGAAGTTATTTTTTTCCCTTTCAGGGCCTAAATAATGTGATTGCCATAGATTTTGATTACAAAGAAGAGTTCATCTATTGGATTGATTCCAGCAGACCAAATGGAAGTAGGATTAATAGAATGAATCTGAATGGGAATGATGTCAAGGTGATTTGGAAGTAATCATGGATTTATAAATCTTATTTGGATCCGAAGCTAATGCCATTATGTAGAAAGATATTTAGATACTGGCACAGCTTAAGCCAGTAAAATTATTACCCATGCAAAATAGATTCTGATCATGACTTAGCTTTATTGTGAATACATACATTGAAACTATGGAGCAGATTAACCATGATTATTTTAACTCAATTTATATAGAGTATAATTAAATCTAGATGAAACTGGTTTGTTTTTTTCCCCTATTTGACAGGTCAATTGATATTAAGTTGCACAACTGCAGTTGTTTTTCTTGGGTGATAAATACTTAAGTTTCAAATACTACTTAAAAAGCATACATATTAGTTGTATTTGTGCTAGTGTAAATATTTAAGAATTTTCAGCTACTCACACTATTTATTAAATTTACATGCTATGTATCTCGTAGTTCGAGGCAACTCTGAGCAGGTTCTATAGAGAGATGTGTGGTTAGCTTAGTCAAAGTGTATTTTCTTTAATGTTCATAATCAAACATGAAATAATTGATAGTTAGGATTATAAAACATATAGCTTATGCAGGATATTGCATAATATCTGTTAAATTTGATCCAATTGAACTTCTACCTTATTTAAGAATTCTTGGTAATGATTCCCTTTTTTTTTTCCTTTTTATTTCTGGGCTTAGTTTTTTGACTGTTTGACAGATGAAGTTTGCTTTTTTTTAGAAGTTGATTTAATCACAGTAGAAACATATCTATTTCATATATTCATATTTGAAATAATTCTTTTTGAACTATGATTTAATTAGTGCCTATATGTACAATAATGGGATAAACATTAATACCATATTGTGGAAATTTGAATGAAATACAAAACCTATCTATTCTCTGATTTAAAGTATCAGACAGATTGAGTTAAATGAAGAATATAGTGATTACAGTGAAAAAACAAAAACAAAAAAACCCCCAAATAAATGGGGAATACTCCCATATCTAATACAGGACAGGAAGAATATATATTTCATTAGTTTATGCAGGATTTTCTTTTTGTACTTCATATTTATGCAACTTTTCATTCAAACCGTTTGTGTTATTTTTACAGATCTCCCATCCTACTCAAAGTTAGACTTGTTGATGAGAGTTCTCAGCAAACCTAACTCATGCCAAGGTTTCCTAGTGGATGCCAGAATTGAGATCAGCATTATGTGTCTATTCATAACTATACTTTTCTTTTTTTGGAACTATACCAAACCCATTTTTTTATTTTTGCACAATAGTTTTAGTTTTATTAGCTAAACTGTTAGTCTGTCATGGCTTTTCCAAGAGATGATGATGGAAACATTTTTGTTAGCTGATTACCATATATAAATAACATTGATAATAGACAATTTTGCCTAGGGAAAAGTGAACTTTTAATATATCAGAATAGGTAATTGACCATAAGTTAGATGAATGGACAGATACATACTTAATCCAGGTTCATTTTTTCCTTATATTTCCTATCATCTGAAAGATTATACTACTATTTTTCCATGCACAAAGAATATGTTGAATTTGTAGTTATAACAGCAGCCAATGAGGTGATTTGCTTGACAAAACTGTCCATAGTAGTTTAGCAATAGCAATAGCAGTTAGACTTATATACTGCTTCATAGGGCTTTCAGCCCTCTCTAAGCGGTTTACAGAGTCAGCATATTGCCTCCAACAACAATCCGGGTCCTCATTTTACCCACCTCAGAAGGATTGAAGGCTGAGCCGGTGAGATTTGAATAGCTGAACTGCAGAACTGCAGTCAGCTGAAGTAGCCTGCAGTGCTGCATTTATCCACTGCACCACCTCGGCTCATACTGATAGAGTGAAATGGAGCTGCCTACCTTAACCTTTAGAAACTGAAGATGGTAAAGATGGAAGAAACAGTACAGCCAGTGCCATCTGGATGCAATTGTAACTTGGAGTGCTTTGGCTGATAGTTTTTGTTACCACTACATCAACCCATTTCTTTCCTGTTTATAAAATTAAATCTTGGAAGTTTTCAATAGTTATCTTTGATAGTGTCCCTTAGTAAATCATATTGCTGACTCCTGTTATGTGTTGAAGAAAAGCAGGTAACTATGTTGCTGTGCATTTGAATGTGAAGAAACCTCTAAGAATATGAGATGGGATGGGATTCTGCACATCAGAGAAAAAAACTCATCGAGACATACCTAAAGTAAATCTTTAGAGTGAAGTAATTATGTGGTGAGAAACAATTTGGTGTAGTGGTTAAGGCATAAGTTCTGAAACCAGGGAATTCTAAGATCTTATACTGCCTTAGGCACAAAGCCAGCTGGATGACCTTGAGCCAGTCACTTTCTCTCAGCCCTGAGAAGGAGGTAATGAAAAATCTTGCCAAGAAAACTTGCAGGGACTTTTAATAAAAGGGGGGGGGGGGGGCAGCAATACAATTACCATATAATGCCTTCTGTTGTTGTTGGTTAATTGTAGTATACTATAAGAATCAATACATTTTCTCTTAAATATTTTTCAATATCAAGAACCTTCCAATTACGTAATTGTATATGCCAGTGTAGTATAATTATTTACTCTCATCTCAGGGAAATAAAACTGGACTTTCCACAATTTTTATGTATGTTCTGATACTTATACAGTTTTTATTTCTCTAGGTAGTTCATAACACAGCTGTTCCTAATGCATTAGCTGTTGACTGGGTTGGAAAGAATCTCTATTGGTCTGACACAGAAAAAAGGATGATTGAAGTTTCCAAAATCAATGGCTTGTATCCCACTGTTCTTGTGAGCAAAAGGGTGAAGTTCCCTAGAGATCTCTCTTTAGATCCTCAAATTGGGTATGGAGTTATCATACAAATTAATAGTGCAATTGGTTGTTTCTTGTTTGGAGAATGTTTATAAGGAAATATATCCTTCTCAACAAGAGTAATATTTAAATGGAAATGTTTTTGGAGTTAATGTAACTAAAATGAAAGAAAATGGAAATAATTGTTATATTTAATATTTGAAAATTTCAGGTTAATAATAATATAATGACAAATTTGTCCAGTATAAATTTCAGCAATAATGTCTAACAACTCATAACAGGTGAATTAATTTATCTGAATGGATTTTTAAATATTATTTAAAAGCCATTAACTACTATACATCTCCACTGAAGTTCCATGTGACTGGATTATATATAGGAATCCAATGGAAATCACATCAAATAATGCTATTTACATGACATCATGCAAATGGCATAAATTATATAAAATATAATTGTCATGGAAAATAATATGTATATAATTCATTTTGATAATGCCACTATGCATGTGATATCCCTTGCCCTTTCAGATACCCATTATTTTATAAGCTATTGCATAGAAGTATGTCAGGCAAAAGCCTGGAAATTTGAGAATGCAAGAATGGTCACCTCAAAGAAGTGGTGCTTATAAATATTTATTGAATTCTTCTTTCATAAGATTGAAATCTAAACTCAAGACACATTCTTGACCAATGTTCCTCATTTATTTGATCCCTCCCCAGATGTTTGATGAGGAAGAACCAGCAAAATCTTAATGAACATCCTTTTGTTTTGGACCCTCAGTTATATACTGAAGCCCTGTGACCAATATAATTTTGTTCATGTGATCTCTTAATCATGTTGATTGCCTTTTTTCTAACCAATGTTTCTTTATTAATATCTTAATAGCAATCAGAAACTATACATAATATTCTATTATTGAAAGTGCATAGAAAATTGGTAACCCAGGAACATCTAATAGTACTCATGAGAAATTTATATACAAGTCAGGAGCACAGTATGGACAGAACATAGTGAAACAGACTAACTCCAGGTTGACAAAGGAGTGAGACGAAATTCTATCTTCTCTCCCTATTAATTCAACCTATATGTTAGTGTGTCTATGTGTGTGTGTGTGTATGTGTATGTATGTGTGTATGTATGTATGTATGTATGTATGATTAATACATACACACACAGACATCATATATTAACATAAATGAAATATATGGGAGAATTATATCACATTTTCTATTTCCACCTATACCTTCTTTTCCCTTAAACTTAGGGTAGCCCACAAAGGATGCTGAATATTTACAATATCACAGAACACACTGAAAGTGTGTGACTATTTTTTTAAAAAAATATTTATTTTATTAAACGTATATGCCATCAATATCACAATTTGAAGTAATTCTTAAAGGCTTACAATGTAACAAAAGATACAAATATAAAAATAATTATAAATATAAAAACAGATTTTCTTGGCTAAGGAGGGATTAATATATGCTATAAGAATTGTGGAAAGTTGGCATACCTTTAAATTTAATATTTAAAGGACAAAGCATGACTAATTATTGAGCCACAACGCAAAATTGTCTGGGTAGGATTATTTGAGAATGTTTTGCTCATTGAAAAAAAAAATGATGGACAAGGGATATATTGGCTTATGGATTGCAGATCCTACGCCATTTTTTAGCTCCAAATATTTTTTTTTCCCATTCAGTGTTGAACATTGTAAATTAATTTGCACAGAGAAAGATTTTGATTTAATGAACTTTCATAAGAAAAGATAGAGGAGAAAATGGAACATTTTAAAAAATTCAATCCATTGTACACTTTTTTTGCCATTGTAATATCATATCTCTTGCTTTATGGTAGAATGTGTGAAGTCAATTCAGTAAAAGAAACATAACTCAGACCTTAATGTTTTGACCAACATTAAATAAATTATCAACTCTTTTGAGATAGAGTCTGTGAGTTCTGAATTAGCAGAATTTATCAATTTAGTTCATCGATAATGAACAATGTGATACTTAAAAACAAAATATCACATTGTGATACATACAACTTTGTAAAATGTAACATTCCCAATTATACTGATGACATAATTATTTACATAGTAACACCATATTTATGAATTTTGTTTCCTAGTTATTTGTATTGGATTGATTGCTGTGAATATCCTCATATTGGTCGAGTTGGCATGGATGGCTCTAATCAGACAGTTGTGATAGAAACACAGATATCTAGACCCATGGCTCTTACAATAGACTATGTCAACAGAAGATTATACTGGGCTGATGAAAATCATATTGAATTTGCTAATATGGATGGCACCCGCAGAAGTAAAGGTTAGTTACATTCCAAGAAACAAACTATTACAGCCTGGTTTTTTGGTTTTTTTTGCCAAATTTGTTGTATTTAGAAAAGTATTCTTTTATAACCTACATTTTTCTAAAAAAAATATAAATACCTAAAGTCAGGTCCAATAGACAATTTCATAAATTATATTAAAATATCACATTGCTTGTCATTTTCTTCTAAACACTTCCTTGTTTGATTTTTGGACATTCCTGTACATGAATATTTTGTGTGAAAAAATAAATAATAATATAAAAAAAATAAAAAATAAATTATAATTATATTAATAAATTATAAAAAAATAAATAATATTGTGTTTGGCCTATGAGGCTTGACTTTTGACACACTATATATGAAGAAGCTAAGGACAATATATACAGTATATCAGTGACGTGCGTTGAGCTTCATGGTCAGTGAGGCAAGTGTGAAAGCCCTGCTGAAGCCCTGGCACAGCTTTAAGATTTGTGGACTTCAACTCCCAGAATTCCTCCTCCAGTCATGTTGCGATGACGTCTGCATGGATCTGCTCCACTTCGCTTTATTCATGGGGGGGGGGGCTGCCACTGAAGATGCCAACGAGCCTCCACCACCACCAGAATAACTGCTGCTGCCTCCTCCTCCTCCTCTAACAGCACCACCACATTTGCTGCCTGGCGCTGCGGCCTTTTTTCCTGCTCCCGCTCCCTCCCGCGGCTCCTCAAAAGCACGGCAGAGGAGGAGGGGGCAGGGGTAACATGGAGCCCAGCTTAGGTGCTCTGAGCGAAGGGGGAGACACCGCTGCCACGGGCGGGGGCGCCAGTGGGACCTTTGCCGGCTTCACCTCAGCCGCAGCGTTGGGCGGCAAATCCGGCAGTCCTGTTGGAGGAGGAGGTGGCAGCAGATATTCTGGTTACAGTGGGAGCTTTGGGGCTTCACTTCAGCAGCAATGCCGGGCACAAGCGGCTAAGACTGGCCGCCCACAAAGGACCTCTGCAGGCTTGCTTTGCTGAACACGGGGCGACTGAGGCTAGTTTGAGGCTAGTTTGAGG